CTCCTCTTCCCTCTGGATCACAGGCACTGGTGATTTAATCCATTAATTTGTAGCAGGAAAGTCAAGGAAGATCCATTTCCACAGTAAAGACCATCCTGTTCTTCTCGTTTGCCACTTGTTCAGCCTCTTCCTTCCACCCCCTTTCCCCATATCAATTTGCAACACAGGAGCCTCACACTTAACATGGTGGATGTAGGTGTGGCGTGCCTCTCCGGCTTGTTAATGCCTCTGAGCCCTTTTCTCCACCCGACGGTTGCCCTGAAATTCATGCATGCTCCTGATGGAGTTCATTTCTGCTGATTTGCATTTTCAAATATAGCGGCATTTGCCATTTTCTTCTCATAGCCCAGCCCAGTGCGACGTTTTGACTTTTGCTGCACACCATGCAGTCCCTTGCTGGCCCTGCTTCTTTTTTGACACCCCTTGCACAAGGGGAAAGCTTGCCCACCCCTTGGCAAGCAGAAGGCCCCCAGGGAGAACGAGTGGAGTGACTTCCAAATTGCAGGACTGACCGGGAGCACCCCATGCTCTGCATCTGCTCATAGGAGTCCAGTCATAATACTTAATTTAGTCTTTAAAGGACCTTAGATTCTGCACAAGCTGGCCCTCCACAGGCGTTTTCACTGTTTTGCATATGGAACAGAGGAGGTTGTTTTGTTTACTGATTTTGGGGTCTTCGATTTTCCTTCTCCACCTTCACTGACAGTCTTTAGAAAAGCAAATGAAGTCACATTAAAGACTTAAATGCATGTTTCTCCTTCACCACTCCAAAAGACCAATCTTGGACAGATCAGCAGGACAGAAGTAGGTAAATAAATACATAAATACATGTTATTTTCCCCCTGCCTTTATTTATTTATTTCTGCCACCGCCGTCCTTGTTCCGTGTGAATTGCCCAAGAGAGCTACTCCGGTGTTGGCTTTGAGCCTACGGTGCCTTGCAGTGGGGGCCCTCCGCCAGTATAAACGGTGTGGCTGCCCGCCATCTCCTTTCCATGCAGAAGCCCTACTTCCAGCTGGCCTGTCCAAATTGTTCCAGATACACCCCCCTTCCCTTCTCAGTGAGAGCACAATAGATGCTCATCATTCATTCATGCCTTCCCTCGTTACCTCCACTCTTGGGGTAACCTGAGCCAGCGGAGGTGGCCGTAGGTCCTGCTGAGAGAAACCTGAAGAGGCCTGATAGCCTGAGAAAGGGGGGGGAGGCCATGCACTGTGCAGGCAGGAGCTGTCCTGCGCAGACGCTCTCCCTTGGCCTCCCACACAGAGCCCGTGCGTACCTATAAAACTGGCAGGCAGGCAGCGAGACTCTCGTGATGTGAGCGACTCTCCGACCACACAAGACGCCTCTTCGGAACTGTCCTGTACCCAGTGAGGAATGGCCACTTTTGTCCCGGTAAGAAAATACCCATCTCTTTGTACCCATTTCTTTACCTCATGAACTGCAGCTGATATTTCCTTATTTCCAGCTGGGTCTGTGCAGCAGATCCTGCTTAAATCACAAAGGTTCTGAACTGGAACGGTCCGATCTGGACCACTTTTCATATGCAGACTGGATCAAAGCCGAGCAAACAGATTCAATTTCAGGGGTAAAATTGACCAAATTTTCAAATCTGGGGCACAAAGAACTTCTGCCTATTTCTGGGTTGTTCTTTTTTTAAAAAATACACACAAAAACATTAACTTTGTCTAATATGGAAGCTCCCTGCCTTGAATCTGGTATGTTTACTCTCTTCTTTAGGGTCGAGCGTGCCTCCAGATTTCAGAAACAACAGGGCAAAACATTAAATAGGTGGTATGGTAGCTGTTGTACTGACATTGCATTGACTTTACAGAATTTCTACTGCTTTGGTTTGAGATCATAAACTGATTTGGATGGGGTATAACATGCCCTGGACTGAGATCTATCTGAAACTCTGAACTGGCCAACACACCAAATTGCAGGGTGCCTGCAAAGCTTTGCTTCCATGTTTCTCCACAGAGAATAACCTGGGCCGGATCTTTCTCTATGGGGATTCTCATTTCATCGTTACAGCATCAGACCAAAAGGTTGGACTCCAAGGCCTTCCTAGTCCTGTCCATCTCCATTATTCTGTGATTCTATGACTGCAGAACTGAGCAATAGATACTGACTACTGCCAGATTTTGCATCTAAGGCAAGATACAGAAGCTTGCTGAAGCCATAGCTTTGCCTAAGAGGCTAACCACCAGTGGCCCTTGGAAACACCAGGTTTGGGGATGCTGTGGATCCTCTCCAGGTTTTAGTCAGCACTTTGAGCTATCCAATACAAAACAAGTTCAGCACCTTGGACAATTCCTGTGAATCCAGACTGAAACTCGGAGTGGATTTACATCACACCCGAAATGGGAATCACTTGCTGCCCCTGCCATTTGATTACAACAGTTTCCACAGTCCGAAACGGGGAAATATTTGGATTGTGAACAAGGAAACATTCTGCCCAGGCTGCTGGAGTGAATGTGGAGGTCCAGCCCTTGGAAAATTTCTTTCTTTAAATGACCAGCTACAGAATCCTCCAGCCTGCTTGGGGGGAATTCTGGGAGTTGCAATCCAAAAAAAGTAATGCTTTCAACCGGAGGACTAAAGAAATGTAGCCTTGGGGAGGGTCCCTGGAAGAAGCTAGTGACCTGGTCCACAAGAGGATCACGAGGCATATAGTACTGCTGTCCCTGAAGAACCAACGTCAAAAAGTGGTGTCTGAAATGAGCCTGTGATCAAACTCCTCATTTTCACTTTAGGGCCAATATCTCAAGTTTCCTCCATGGGGTGGAAAGGAATCGGCTTCTCGTCCTCCTTTTTGCCCCTCTGTGGAAGCAACAGCAGGCTTCAAGAGGGTTCATCTGCATCAGGGCAAGGGAGGATAAGTAAACCCTCCCTCCCTGGTCCGAGGTCTCTCATCTGCAAGGTCTGGGGTGGGGTGGGAAGCTGCCAACCAGGGAACAGGGCCAGCATTCAATGATAGAGCATCCAAAAAGGGCCAAATTCAACCCAAGATGCCTTCAGGTAGGACCCCAGGTAGGTCACAGCTGACCTTCCCCTGCTTTGCCTTACTCACAGTACGCCTCCTGCTACGGGAACAAGCAAGCGGTGCAGCTTCTGGGCAGGAACAGCTACTTTTCCCTCTTCGCCAACCCTCCTTGCTTGGTCGGCCAGCGCCAGCGGCTGGCATGCCAGGCTCCCGAAATGACCCTCCGACAGATCACCCAGCTCATTCGCATCTTGCGGCAGCTGAACCTTCGGGACTCCAAAGGGAAACAACCGCCCGAGCCACAAAGGTAAGTAAGTGGCCCAAAGAGTCCCCGCACAAGATCCCGTATGGATCCACGTAAAACTCTGGGTTGTGGAAGTTCATGGGTGGGCCCTAGAATGAAAAAAAACAGCTTCCTCTGGAGTTTTGGGAATCTTAGCCCCAACACAGAGAGCTTAACCCAGTGGGTCTCACTGGATCCCATTTGCTTTCCAGGAGCCGTTCCAGCAGTTCCTCTGCAGAATCACAGCCGTCCCGGAACTCAGGCCAGCATTGTCTGTCCTGCTTCCACCCAAGACGAAATTCTGGTCCACCGTGCATTGACCAAGCGGCTGTCAATTCAAGAGGCTGACATGCGGGACCCTTACGTCGGCCCATCACCTTTCCAGCTTCTTTCCCTCTCCCCAAAACAATAGGATCGAGGTCATGCCAGATGAACCATCCAAAACAAGCAGACAACAAAACTCCCCTAGAAGAAAAAAGAAAAAGGTCCCGTGGCACCAGTAGGTCCGTCTGTGGCTGTAATCCACGGAACAGAGAAGGCTGGACTGCCACGCGTTTATTGTAGCCTCCTCTTTGGGGGAAGTAGTGTCCTGCCAGGTACACAAAATGTTTATTGGCAAATGTCTGAAGTTTGTATGCATTGAGAGGAAAAGGGGGGAAACAAGTATCATATTATAAAAACCTGTGATAATTTAGTTACTATTTGTGGCGTCACTTTTGGTGCGTCGGGGCAAGCGGTACACTGCGGTCCATGAAAGCGTCTATCCCAATGAATCCATAAAGACTTGAAGATGCCACAGGATGCTGGAAAGACAGCTATCCTCTCTGTAAAGCTTCCCACGCTGACCCACGATGCAATTCCCATCCACTTCCAGAGGGGGGCAGGGCAGCGTCAGAAGAAGGAGGAGGACCCAACACTAAAAAGACCCAGCTAGGCTGCTGACCCGTCCCTCTTGCTCCATCCCTCTTTCTCCTCCCGGTCAAAGAGACAGATTGTATGTCCTCCGAGATCTTTTCCGCTGAGTGCACTCTGCAAAACAGGGGCAGGGAAACCCCCAGGAGCTGGGCCCAACCTCTCCTTCCCCCCAGATCAAATCTTTCCTTTTCCAGCTGCCCAGGCTTTGCTTCCCCAAGACGGCAGCACAGCCAGGGCTGAAGGACGAGGGCAGAGAGCAGGGAAACACGCAACTCGAGCTTTCAGGCCGTCTTCTATTCCCTGACGCGTGGTTGGTGGGAAGTGCTGATTTGAGCCTTGTCTTCCCGAGCATACGTTTCTAAGTCCACGCAGCTGAAGGTGTAAGGATGATAACCCTGTTTGGAAAAGCGTGTCAGCCTCCAGCCTCTTGAACTCAACTTGAACCCCCCCAAGCAGTACGAAAACAGCAGAGAGGTGGGCCAAGTTACACACACACACACACAACAACCACCTACTGAAACAGAACAGGATCTTAGAAAGGAGAAACAACCCCCCCACCCCAGAGAGCCAGGCAGGGAAGAGGGGGTCCTGCAGAGCAAAGAGGGAAGCAATGAGTCCGTCTTCGCTTCCGCTCATCCTTCCTACGCCTGCTTTTCTCAGCCAGACTTACAAGGGTGTTAAACGAGAGCCAAACTCAGGAAAGGGGGAAAAAACCCAGAAAACTCCACGCCCCAGCAGACATGCAACCACAGCCAGTTGTTCAGAAGAGAAAGGAGATTGGTAGAGGCCAAATGGGACAGCTGCAGGACAACTATATAAAAGGTTCTTGTTTTATTACACAAAATAAACAAATACATTTCTGCCAAACTCAAGGGCTCCAAGTAACAGTGCAGGAAAGTGCCCCCACCCCGGCCGCTCTTCATGAGCTCAGCTAGTCTGGATCCACCTGTTCGAAGGGATGAGCCCCAAGGAGGAGACCTCGGCTCAGACTCCCCCCCCCCTTGCACCCACAATGGTGCTTATAACCTGGCCGGGAGAGGGGACTCTTCCCTGGCTCATGACCTCTGGGCTGGAATGCACCTCAGCATGAAAAATACTGCTTTATGAGTCTCACCATCACAGGAGAAGCCAGCCGGCTGAAGTCCAGTAACAGACACACCTTGGCACAATGAGCCTTCACTCAAGTAAACACTCAAGCAGAGACACCGAGCCATGGCCAGAAATCATGGCCTTGTTTTAAAATGGAACAAGATCCTCTTGATCCCTCTGCCTGCGTAAACTGAGCTTTTTCAGAGCCTCTACCAAAGGAGGAAGCTGGGTGATAGATCCGAATCTCCTCTTCTCATACTTAGGGCAAAGTCCAGGCTCCACTCTGCTCCCTCCAATATGCTGAGCCTTCAAAAAACTGAGGTCCTCCCTGGTCTTCCAGCAGGAAGTACTGTTGGGTTTTGATCTGTGTGTGCAATGCCGAGAATTCTGAGGCCCAAGACGGGCCATGACACGAAGGAAAGGCGGGGTGGGGGTGGGAATCAGTGCAACCCCATCCCAGCTTGGTGTGTAATTTCTCAAGCCTCTCCCAGACGCTGCTTAAGGATCCGGCCTCGTGCCTCCAGCTCCAGGCATTAAGGCAGGCATCCTCTGCTTGGCTCAACGATTCCGGCTTCCCAAGCCCCCCATGATTGTCACCTGCATACAAAAGTCTCTTTCTTTGTACCTGGGGAAAAAAACCCTGCTGAACCGGGGGGGGGGCCTTGAGCAGCCCCTCAGATCCTTCTGGAATCACCGCCACCCAAAGCAACCTCCGGCAGGGAGTGCAGAACACCGCCGGCTGCCCCCAAGACCGACCCCCATCTCAGAAACACCCTCGGAGGCTTTAGTAGGGCTTCTTTGTTTCTCCCAAACAACTCAAGGCAGCCCATGCATCGTCTCTTCCGGATCCTACCCACCCTCCCACTCCAGTCAGAAGGTGCTCTCCAGCAGACAGTGGCAGCCGCAGCCGGTGGGGCAGACCTCCTGGGTGCGGAACCACTCCATCATGTGGCTGGTGTGCCCGCCGTGCCCACAGGTCAGGCAGAAGTTGGAGGAGCCTCGCACGGCCACGTGGCAGATGGCGCACTGGAACGCGATGCCTTTGCAGTTGGCGCACTGGACCCCCCGCACCTCGTGGCGGCAGTAGCTGCAGTAGACGCCAAACTCTGACAGGAGAACAAGAGGGAAGGAAGGAGGGAGTTATAAGATGGGGGCCCCCCCCGCTGCCGAGACACCCCCCCCACGGCAGGGCCCACTGTGGGCTTCTCGGCCAGCTGGCATCAGAAAGCCAGTGGATCGCCATCTTGCCATCCAGGGTCCTTTGACGTCTCCCTGGCCTTCATCCTCCTGAAAAAGCTCCTCTCAGCCCTCTATCCCCCGCCGCCAGCTGAAAAGCGGGCATCGGAAGCTCCTCTCTCTCTCTCTTTCGTCTTCAGTAAGCATTTCGCTCTCACGGAGCAATAATATTATTTAAAAAGTGAAAAGAACAGATGGGGAATGAGCTCTGTCATTCAAAGACAGGGACAGGGCACTAGGGGGGTTATGGTAAAGAGCTGCAAGATGCTCGGAGGTTTACAGAATTAGCCGGCCTTGTTGACAGGATTGGGGTTTCTGGGGTTTCTGCAGACCCTCTCCTTCCAGGAACAGCTCTCCGACACCGGGGAGGCTTTCCTGTCATGGCCATGCAAGCCCCAGGCAGTGCCCGTGGGCTGCAGGGCCACACCTGGAGAAAAGCAGGCTGACCTTCCTGCCCCTTCCACCCCACCCCACCCCACACCTCACAGTGAGCCTTAAAAGAGAAGCAGAAAAGTGACGGGACTGTTGGGCTTCAGGCAACCCAAAGCGGTTTCCTTCTGTTTAGCTGACAGGCAGGCAGGAAAAGTGCCACCGGGTGGAAAAGCTCAGTGGGAANCCCCCCCCCCCCCCAGCAAGGTCCCCAAGGTCAGCAGGAAGCAGGCCTGTGGGTTGGGCGAACGACCCCCCCATCTCTTTTCTCCAGGGGCCCAATGGGGCTGGAACAGCAGTGAGCAGATGCACAAACACACAACAGGACAGAGCGTTGCACACCCAGGGGCTCTTCCAGCCCCAAAGGCAGAGGGGACGATGCCACCGGATGGCTCCAAGCAGCCGTGCCCTAGAGTCAACCCGGGACCTTCCGCAGGCAACACCAAACCAGGCCGTCTCTACTGGGACGGGACCCCGAGCAGGGGATTCAACTCACCAATCCCCTTGTGAGGCTCAGGCGGGCAAGAGACAAACTTGAGGACTTCCGCCCGCTTCTCCCTCAGGCCCCAGCGATAAAGGATCTCTCCGTAGCACTTCTTGAAGTCATCAAACTGCTGGGTGTTGGCTGGATCCAGAAGCCTAGAGAGAGAGAAGCCCGGGGTCCTCACAGCTGAGAGAAAGCCCAAGGGCACGTCTCACATACACACCTTGTCCCAGTTTCACCTCTCTCTTCCTCCAGCTACGAGGAGAGGGATTTTCAGATTTCTTGGGCTTCTGCTCTCAGAATGGGCCCAGAATTCTGCTTGCAGAATTCTGCGAGCAGAAGTCTCAAAACAGAGCCACAAGGCTTCACGTGAGGGGGAGCCTTGACACTCATGAGGCAGAGTAAATGGAGTCCCCACAGGACTACCCCGCCCATGAGACTCTCATTCCCAGAATTCCACCTGGGGGGGGGGGTTCTGGCTGAATTTGGGGAATGGGTGCCCAAAATATCTGAAAGTCCCCTCCTAGGGGGATACTCCTCACCCCCACCCCTCTGCTGACACGTGGAAGCTCCTTCGGGGGGGGGGGCAAGCACTTGTCTGGCTTCGCTTTTGCTGAGGCTAACTAGCACACTTTCTCGTTTCCTGTGCTGTCTTTGTTCTGCTGATTTTTCCATACACAGTTTTACATCAAATACCTCTGAAGTTTTAAAAAAATAAACAGAAGGGTAAAAATAATTTTGAGAACACAACATTCAACTATTCATGTATGGATGAGCAGGCTGGCTCGGAAGCCGTGTGGTCTCCGTGCAGCGGTAGGCTCTGTTTTCAGACCGGCTCAGACTGTGGTTCCACCACAGAGAACAAAACCATTGCCATCTTAGAACAGCAGAGCTGGAAGGGATCCTACAGATCATCAAGTCCTGCCTCTGTCAGGGGCCACGGCGGGGAATCGAACTCCTGAACTCTGCCGAGGTCTAATCACAGACGCCATCCCCCCCCTCTACCTTTTGTTCCTGTCGTGCTGATCCTTCTCCCGATCCCGGTGATCCGCGTAGGCTAAATTCCCAAACCGGAGGTCATCGGGTGAAGATTCGCACCAGGCCAGGGGGTGGTCAGCCTCCTTGCCGGCTGCAGAGGAAAACGGGGGTCAGCAGGACTTGGGGGGGACGGAGCCTCAGGCCATCTGCACCCAACCCCAGGCTAACCAAGAAGCCCCCATCCACCAGACAAACCCTCCGGCGTGTTAAGGACCTCCCTTCACTGTGGCTTTGCAAGGTGACAGGAAAACAAGTTTTCCATCTCAGAGGTGCCAGCTCATAGGAGCGTGAGCAGCATTAAGGGATCAAGTGACTAATTCTGCGACACCTTAAAAACGAGACATTTTATCTGGCAAAAGCTTTCAGGGACCGCCTCTCCTGCGAGTCCTTGGAAGTTATGGCCTAATAGAATGAGTTGGTCCTTCGGGTATCAAAATCCTGCTTGTTGTTTCAGCAGCAATAGGGTGAAAACCGCTATTGGCTAGAAAACTATGAATGAGTAGCTTCACCCTCTTTGCAGTGACTCTAGTTTTAGACACCTATATCCCACTTACGATGGAACACATAAAGTGGCTTACAAATACAAAACTAGATAGAAAAACCTATATTTGAGTGTGTAAATCTTTGCATTGAGCAATGTCTGAGAACAGGATGTGAGCAAAGAGAGATGGGGTGGGAGGTTTCTTTTTTAACACGAACAGAAGAAACGCAGTCGAAAGAGGGCATTTGGAAGGGGACCCACCCCCCCGGGCGGCTTACTTAGGTTCCAGCTACTGGTGCTGAGTCCAGGGTCCGACATGCTGGAACAAGAGCCAGAGGAAGTGAAGCTGGGCTGCCGGGGGGAGAAATGAGGAGAAACGACGTCACAGGGTGAACTGACACAGGCGGGGCCTCCCAGGAAAACGGTTGGAGAGGAAAGCGGCTCTTACGTATCGGCTGTGGCTGGCGGGGCGGGGAGGGAGGAGTCCGGCGGGGCTGAGGGCTCCCTGCGGCCTGGACTGGGCCTCAAAAACGCTGCACAGCATGGCCAAAGTTTGCACATCGTGAAGCTGGCAGTAATGGGCCACCCTGGGGGGTGGGAGAAAGAAAGAAAGGTGCCTTTTTAGGAAAGACTAAAATATTTGCGCTTATGAAGAAAAAGAGGGCTAAGGAACTTTTGATTCCCCACCACCAAACAATAAAGAAGCGGAAAAAATAAAACTCATTGGCAACTCCCGCTCTTGTGCTGCCAACCGGAGGTGGCAACGGGCATTCTTGGGTTGCTCCCCCCCCCCGGCCACTTCTCCACCCCGTTCCCTTCCCGATCCCAGCCTGCCGGCTTACAGAGACTCCAAGAGCTGACGGCCAAAGGGATGCTGGGCCCAGGGCGTCTCTAAGTCGGGGTCGGAGGTGGGGCCGAGACAGAGGTCTGTTGCCACCGTGGCCAGGGACCAGACCTGGAGCAGAAAGAGAAGGCACAGAAAGAAGCATGGAATCGCCGCGTCGGAAGGGGCCGTCAAGGCCGTCACGTCCAACCCCCGGCTTCTCTCGGACGCCTCCTCTGGTGTTGGCGCGCTCTCCACCTCCTGAGGCAACGGGTTCCCTTGCTGTACTGTCTGAACAGCCAAGGATGTACTGGGGCCAAACAGCTCGCTGGCCACTTGCAACAGAAGGCCCACCTCGGTCCCTCGCTCAGCACATCTCCGAAAGCGGAAGGACGCCCATGGAGTGGGTCAGAAGACCGCTGGGGCCTGTCCCTCGTCCTGTATGAGGTGAGGACTAGGATTCGCCGTGGGGTAAGAAGCAGAGAATCACAGAACGGTGGAACCTGGGGAGGGATCTCAAGGCCCCCTAGTCCAACCCCTTGTCAAACACGGGCAATCTGATGGGGGGGCACCTCAACTCCATTGGGAACCCCACCTCCAAGGAAGGAGAGGCCACTGCCTTCCTGAGGGAGCCTGCTGCCCCCATGGACATGCCAGGGTCCTGAGACTTAAATCCCCATTGGCTTTCTCGGGCTTCAAATCCTGCCCTCTGGAGCAGCCGAGCATGAGCGGGTTCTGTCCTCCACGGGACACCCCTTCCAGGCCTCTAAAAAGAGGGCTAGCCTGTTGGCTGCCAAAAACTTCTCCCCCACGTTTCTCACCACCCGGTCTCTTGAGAACAAAGGACACCGAGGGAGCATCACAAGAACAAGGGCAGTGGCGACCCGCAGGGAGCTCAGAAGGGCAGAGAGTCCCACAAAAGGGCCTCCGTGGGATGTGTGGAAGCGGAGCCTCCCTGGGCTGGGGTCCATTACCTGCAGGAGGTCCCTCCGGCCCACCGTCAGTGCAGAGGCGGCGTTCTTCTGGCACGTCTCCCGAATGTCGGCCACGTCCAGTCTGCAAAGGGAAGCCGGCGAGCAGCTGGTGAGTATCAAAGGGAGGGACAGGCGAGCCTTCTCTTCGGCCAGACCGCCGGGGGCCGCGCAAAGGCCGGAGAGAGAACCACCCAAAATGCAAAGCTTGTTGTGGCCAGCTCCCACGTGAGTCAAGGGAAGTCCCGCGAAGCCTCGGGGTCAGCTGCCACTCGCGCATCAGGCGCTTTGTTGCATTCCCGGGTGTAACGCTCAGCGGCACCTCCGGGAACTCCACCAGTTGATGAGGAGCCACCGGCTGCCGAGGCTTGACACGAATTCCCTGGCACAAGCCCGAATCGGCAACGGGGATCGGGCCACCCGCCGCAGCTTCCCTGAAGCTGGAAGGGAGAACCTGGACTCAGCTTGGTCAGGCAGGGGCAACCTAGCTCACTCGTTGCTTTCATTCCGCCCCTCGTTAAGAGAAAAGGAAAAGGAAAGGAAAGAGCAGAGGCTAGATCCCCACCGGTTCCCAACAGGACAGCCAAAATTATGACTGATCTCCTGGGTTACTCACGTGTACATCTCCCCTAGAGATTTGTGGACTGGGAGCAGGCAGGAGATGTCCTGAATGATCACTTTCCCGGCAGCTTTGATGGGTCGGCTGCTGGCATCCACCCCGTCTCGTTTGTTCTTCCACCTTCTTGATTTCTGTGGTAGACAGACCAGCAGGTGAGCAGCAGTGACTGAGATACAGCACGCGCACACACACATATATGAGGACAGGAGGAGGAGAGAGAAAGAGAATGCGTTCAGCCTCTCTCTTTTGAGGGTGGGGAAGTCATGGGGTTGAACAGCCCCAGCCTTTAGAAGCTCTGCTCTAACTAGCCGACCGAAAAGAGGCAAATCACACACAGACAGACGCTGGGGAAAAAAGCAGTCAAGACAGATGCACGAGCAGAAGGAAAGTCTGCCTGGGGTCAGTGGGCAAATCCAGGAGAAGAGCCAGCAGGGCAGCTAAAGCAGGAACGAAAGGCTCTGCCTTTATAATCAGGTCAGTCCGTGGGTCCTCCTGCTGTGGTCTCTGACTCGCAAGAGCCTTGCCGGGGGCTGGATGGCTTCCTAGCGCTTCCTGGATAGGGCAGAGACAGAGCTACCGTCTGGGACCTTATGCAGACTCTGCCGCTAAGCTCGAAGACGTCCCCCCCTGGACAAGGTCATCTCTGCCCAGGCTGCGTGGAAAGACACCTTCGCAGCCCCTACCAAGCCTGGCTATGGAACGGCCCTCACTTTTGCCATGGAGACCAAAAGAATGACTTACTAAAGGAAAACATGATCCATCCATTTGTTTTATCATTTATGAAGAAAGGTCTTGGCCTGCTTGCAGAAAGACAGCGAAGAGGGGGCCAAGACTGGCCTCCAGTGGCAGGGAGTTCCAAAGTCTCTGGGAGCAGCCACAGAGAAGGAAGGTCCTCCTCTCCCAGGTCCCCACCAAATGCACCCGTGAAGATTATGTGGCCGAGAGGAAGGCCTCCTTCCCCCGCTGCTCTTAAGACCTGGCCGGGCAGAATCATAAAGGGAAAGGTGGTCTTTTAGGGAGCTTTGACCCTAGTCAATTCTTAGAATCCAAACATTTACGGTCACAAGAGCAAGCAGGGCACACCACACGGCACAATGACCAGACTTGCAATGCTGACGGATCTAATACAGCAGCGCCCCACAAAAGGGGGGCCAGGCAAGGCTGACTTTCAAACCAGCGAAGGCCCATCAATTCAAGGCCTGGGCAAGTGAACCACCCCATGCCACCGATCACACCCACGAAGGATGATGTGCGAACTGGCAGTTCGTGAGGCTTTATTTCTCGGATGAACAGGTGTTAGGCAGTGCCTGGTCTGCCTCCTCCAGCAGGCGCCCACTCAAGAGGCAGCACCTAAGGAGGCGGGGCAGGGAAGCCAAGGAAGAAACCCTCCAAGTGGGCGGCCGCCAAAGGAATTGGGGCTGGGAAGCGCTGAACACCTGTTTGGCTGAAAAACATCTTTACTCTGTACATACAGTATGCATGCGTGTTTTAATGAGACTTTAAACATCTGGTACTTCATTTGCAAGGTGATGTAGATGACTGTCTTGCAAAGGTGAAGCAGGGAAGCCTGCTTTCAGAATCACTTCCAATGTAAACGAGGGTGCAAAGCCCACCCGTTCGTACCGTCTCAACGACTCGTGAGCACTGTAAGGGGGTGGAGGGTGCTTCACTTCCGTCAGTCACTCTTGCCTCCCGTCCCCGCCCAGGCCCAGATAGTCCTTTGCTGCAGACACGAATAATACATGCAGCCACACGCAAGCCCTGCTCCTGCATTCTCCAGAAATCATTAACCCTGAAAGCTCTTTTCAGACGGCTAAAGCGTTTGCAGAGGGGGAGGGGAGGCTCCCACTGGAGTGCTCCCACACCTTGCTCCAGGGCTGAGTCTCTGAAAGGCAGGGGAGCCAATGGAAGATTCGGGATTCAAAGCAGGAAGGCAAGCTCCAGATCCTGAAGGGGCTAACCTTGAGGAGGCAGGACTGAACTTGCCGGGCGGCAGAACTGCAAGGGAAACCTCCCACCCTGGAAAACCAGGAGGAAGGGAAACAGGAGGGCCTCCGAAGAGAAGAATTTTATGCAGAAACACGTGGAGGTTTGGAACAGTGGTTGCTTGGAATTCCTCCCCTCTCCCACTCACACATGTAGATCAACCTTCTCTAACTGTGTGTTCTTCCAACTACGTCAGATTACAGCTGCCACCATCCCAGAGCAGCACAGCTAGTGATCTGCCCGTCAGGGAAGGATGGAAAAAAGTTTACTGCACTGGGGAGACTGGCTTACAACTTGCCTTCCATGGAAAGGGCCCAGGCATTTTTGAAAACAACGGCAGGCAGCATCCCGTTGGGGGAAAGGCCAGAGGTGTCACTGCCCGACAGGCACAGCACTTCCCGCCATCTCCGGCTGGTGGCTGCTGCGCCAACCAGAGATGGCCCCCGTCAGATGGACGGGCTTCCACTCTTGCAAGGGGAAAGCAGGTAATGAACCACCGTGGTTAGAATCGGACAGAGAAACATACAGTTAAAAAAACGAACAGGGTTCCGTTGCATTCTTTCTTTCCTTTAATTCAGAAACAGAAGACTAAAGTGGATGCAATTATAAATTTCTAGTTTATAGAAGACTACAAGCATGCAGCTCACCCCGTCACTTTGTTAAGAAAGAGGTTGCAATGAACCAAAGTTGAGTTGGAGGGAGGGGGGTGAGGGAGGACGGACGAGCATCTTTCTCCTACTGAAGTTATTTGCCCCGGGGTTTTCAGAACATTGGGTAAGTGGCTTGGGCGAAATGACACCGGGATAATAATGCTGTCCCGGAAAGACCCTGGAAGAGTTCCTTTGAGACCCTGACCTAACGCTGCGCTCTTTGGTTTTTAATAGCTGTGGAAGGTTATTGATCACCTGCTGATGAAAAGCAGGGTAACTTGCACGGAATACTCTAAAATGCCACAGAAAAGACACTCCACAGCACAAAAACAACCCAATTCCCCCAAAGGCCATGGCAGAGTTAGGTACGTAAGAAGGAAGGAGCATCTTCTATGTGGAAGAGGACGCAAGCCAAGGAAGGCCGGATGCACACCCAGCGGCTTGATGAGAAACAAGGGAAAAAGCAAGGCAGCCATGGAGCTAATGAAACAGGCTTCTTCCTCTCAGGAAGAGGGAAGGCACAGGATGAGAACGGAAGGGGGTCATGCCACTTGGGGAGCACCACAGCCAGCCGACGTGGGCACCGCCACATTCACAAGAAGGGACAGCCATAAGCAGCCAGTCAGGGATCGATGTGGAGCCAGCCCAAGAATAAGCCACTGACTGCTTTGTAGCAACCGTGGGGAATCTCTGCACCATCAGCAAGGCGTGGGACCTCTTCAAAGGCACCCACAGAGCCCTGGCTGGGGAGACCTTCCTCCTGCCACCATGCCAGAGAGAACGGAGCAACTCCGGTGAACTCTTGATGGAGCCCAAAGGGAGAGGAGCGTCTCTACCCACGACCGCAGCGAGGCTGAGCCTCTCTTAGCCCTCGCGCTCAGCGTCCGGCTGATGTGAGGGTGGCAGGAGAGGGGGAAGACCCGGACGTTCCCACCACCACCACCCCACCCAGTTGCTAATCTCCAAGAATGAAGGGGAGCTCTGATCCCGCAGGCAGCAGTGAAGCCCTACAGCTTGGAAAGAAAAGAACCGGGGCCGCGCTGCAAAACCGGATGGCTGCCAGGCTGTAGGGTCTGCCCGCGAGGAGTGTTGCTAAGAGGCTGCGTGAGGACCACTGGCATGCCCTTCCTGAAATCTCTCTCTCTCTTACACACACACACACACAAGTACACAGCGGCCTCACTGCCTGGAAAAGATGGTAAAAAGAAATAAAATTAAGAATTAAAAACAAGGCCAGCTCTGAAAAAAATAAGCAAAGCTGTGCAAAGAGTGGATTGCAGTTGGCAGTCTCCATCAGGCGGATAGAATTCAGAGAGATGTTTCCCATGTGTGGACCAGGCCTTGGGGACCGAAGCATCAGGCCAGGGAAGGAAATCGTCCACAGGCTCCATCCGAGCCGAACACATCCCCTCAAGTCCTCCCGCTGCCTCCCTCATTCACCGAGAGAGATTTCACAGCTCTGTTCGAAACCCTGCAGGAGGATGCATGAAAAAACTCCTTCCCCGTTGCCTCACGCAGTAGCAGCAACCTCCTCAAATGTTCTACCACCTCTTGAGGGCGTAAGGGATCCCTCTCTCCAGGTTCACGCCGAATGCCTTCTAGAACGACCACACGCCCCAAACCCTGGATCAATGAGGTCTTTGGAAGGAGAAACCTGGAAGCGTCCAGGGGGTGTGGCCAGCTCAAGAGTCTGGCTGGCTTTCCACACCTCGCTACGACGAACGAGGCGCTCCCGGCTACCTGTCTCTGCAGACGGGCCTGAAGCCAAGTCTTTGTTTCTTTCGTTCGTTTTTTTTAACCAGCATCCACAGGAACAAAGATTTCAAAGGAACCAAGAAGGCCAAGCAAGAAAAACCGAAACAGAGAGCAAAACTACAGGATTTTTTTTTCATTGAGGGAATGTACAGAATAGACTTGGCTCCCCTACTGAGAATAAAAAAAAAAGATCCAGTAATTTAACAAAAGACAAATTTGAGATTTCTACTCCCGTTTGATCCCCTTTGAAGCCTACACAGGTATTGGCCTTTGGAATAATTTCCAAAGGGATTTTGGGGAAGGTCATAGTGTATATTTAAAAGGCATGTACTAAATACACGTGAGACTCATTCACTATCCTTTGGATCATACCCACCTCCCCAAAAATTGGCAAAGCCATGTGGGATACAATCTAAATTTAAGGAGCAGGAGAATACCTCTCTGCTCTGTGTCCCATCAACTCTGACTTATGGCGACTCTTTTCGGGGCTTTCCAGGCAGAGAGTACTCTCAAGCGGTTTGCCATTCCCTTCTTCTGTGGGGGATCCCTGGGACTATGTGCAGCTGGCCCAAGGCCACCCAGGCTGGCTCTTCTCCTCCCAGGAGGCACAGCAGTGGGGGAACTGGAAGTCCCCACCTCTGGCTCTGCAACCACTGCGCTACCCGGCTATCTCCACTTCTTGAGAGCTGTGGTTCTTAAGAGGCCAAATTCTACACCTAACACCACATTTTGTAAGGGAGAGAACAAAGCTCACCATACCACATGCGCACCCCTGGGGGGGAAAACACTGTCTTCTTGCTTCCCTTAAAGAGCTTCATTGCCTCCTCTGGTGGTTGTACAAGCCCAACTTAGAGAGAAATGCCCCAAATTAACAGACAGAGCTAAACTGTGGTTCTTAAGAGGCCAAATTCTACACCTAACACCACATTTTGTAAGGGAGAGAACAAAGCTCACCATACCACATGCGCACCCCTGGGGGGGAAAACACTGTCTTCTTGCTTCCCTTAAAGAGCTTCATAGCCTCCTCTGGTGGTTGTACAAGCCCAACGTAGAGAGAAATGCCCCAAATTAACAGACGGAGCTAAATAAGCACAAGATTAGGGGCCCACCTGCCCTCCCACCCCACCAATAATAGTTCCCGTCCAGGTTCCCCAAGGCAGGCAAGTGGCAGGTTATTCTTGGGCGCCCAGGCAGCGGAGAAGAGTTAGCCAAGGTCAGCATAACACAGCGCACAGTACCGAGAAGTCGTTAATCGCCTGTATGGACCAACGGCGTCGGGCAGAACACGGAGACATCTGCGCATGAGAATGTCACTCCCAGGAGGAGGAGGAAGAGAAAGGGAGGAGGAGCACCACCGAGAAAACGAGAAGAGGGAGAAAAGAAGACACGGCTGAAAAACTCTGGCTCCCTGGACCCCAGGAGTGCCACGGCGGCCGGTGGAAACCACAAGCCGACCGGAAAGGCAAGTGGGCAGGCCAGGGTCTCGATGCGATCAGAAAGCGCGGCACAGAAAGGCTCAGCCAACAGTGTTTCCCATGACAAACAGCCAACCTCCCATCATGGTTTGCCCGTGACCGCCAAAAATGAACCCCTGATAGGAAGTGGAATGGCTTGCATGTTTCGGGGGGGGGGCATCCGTCAGCAGGAGCCCCGGCTGGATTCATCCTGATCGTCTTCACACTGCAAGCCTGGGGAGGGAACACAGCCCTCCAGGGTGTGCTTTGGTGATGACAGCCGAGAAGCAGTCTAGATGGGGGTTTCATTGCCACAGATTCTTACTTGCTGTGAAGCCTACGTAACAGGCAATGATTATGGGCTGCAGAAACATACTTATCTTGTGTAATTAGCCCAGGCAGAACGGTTCTCTAACAAAGGATGCAAGAGTGACCCACTCCCTGCTTCCAAAGAGTGCTCACAACTTAAAAGAAGGGGAAAAAACCCAAAATCAGGAGCAGACTTCCCGAACTGCATGCACTCCCGCACCCTGGGAAGATTTTTGCACATCTACGGGGACTGGTGTGCCTCCCAGGGAGCGCTGGGGTGGAAAAGGGACTCTGGGATTCTCCACGTTCACCTACTCATGTCCTAGAATCCACAATCTGATCAGACAGAAAACAGAGGGGTGAATACAGAGTCTTGAGGAAGGGTGGGAGGCCCTGCATTAGAGGATCTTCTGCCAGCCAGCTCTTGCAAATGGGATGCCTAGAGGCCCCTTCCTGGATGGTTCAGGCTACCAGCCTTCCTGCTGACAGCACCAGAGCACAGGGTACTCTCCAACATCCCCTCCTGGGCAGAAAAGCCCCACCGAGGTGGCCCAAAAGGCAGGAAAAGGCCCTCTGTTCATCGCCCGGGCGCAGGTGGAAAAGGCAGTTTCGAGGACTCTGGGCAGGCCATTCCCAACCATTTTCCTACAGTTCCGGCTACATGCTAGAGCACTGATTCAGAGGCACAAGAAATGTTTAAAGCAACTGTGAGTTAGGGCCCCTCCGCCGTAGGAAGTGCTCCTCCTTTGCAACCCCTCGCAAACACGTTAACAAATACCACTTTACTCAATGAGCCCCTTGCAAGTCCATCCTCCCAAGAAATGTGGAGATCCCAAGGATGATCTTCTGCCTTAGTGTGATCAGAGATGACGTGCCTGCATGCTCCGGTGGGGTTTTTGACTCTACGCCTAACTCTTTCCTCTCCTCGTCTTTGGTCAAGGGAAGCCCAGAGCATCGCTGGGTTCCCTTCCGCACCAGACCAAAACAAGCCTCAAACTTCCAACGGCAAGTACACCGGCTTCCTAGGGGGTAAAACAGCACGGACGTCTTTCTGACTGGGCTTCAAAAGAGTCTTCTTGAGCCACAGGTCAATAACAGGGAAGCAGACCCTGCTCTCTGCCGGGATGGAAATCACACTGACATCCCAGAAGGCTTCATACAGCAAGAGTCTACGCCTCCTCAGGATGGGACCAGAGCCATCTGGATGGGGCAGGATTGCCTTAGAATCTTAACCAACACCCGTGGCTCCAGGTAATGAGCCACGAAAAGCGCACTGCGACAGCCTCTGCAAACCCTAAGGACCGACAAGGCTCTGCCCCGCTAGAAGCCTCCCTGGCTCCAAAATGACCCCCCCCATGCAAGCTGTGTGCGCCCCACATCTGTTACTGCTTTGCACCCCAAAAGTCACACCGGTGAGAAGGGACCCTTACAGCATTTTTGGCACTGGCCGCCACTCGGACGAGGGACTGCGGGGGGTGGGGGGGAGAGAAGCAAGAAAAGGTGCCCCAGGCCCTCAACATCTCTGAACTTTTCTGGAGAGGAAGCCTAGAAGGAACACAGAGACTGCTCAACAGGGGAGTGGGACCCCACTGCCTTAGCCCACCGGCTTCTCCGAGGCCTTGGGTCCCCCGGGGTGGCTCTGCTGCAGGGCAGGAGGAACAAACGCCGGACTGCGGAGGGCCAGCAGGCTTTCCCTACACGACCCAAGACGAGGTGGGGAGACGTTCCACTGACCAAAGGCTTACCCGCTCCTTGTAGTAGAAGGAGCTGATGGAGACTTGCTCCTTCTCGCTGCGGGTGGGGCTCCCGCCGTACAAGCGCAAGTTGCCGGGTGTCTCCGTCCGGATCTTCATGGGAGTGATGAGACCGCTATGGTAGGCGGAGAGGGCCGACAGGGATCTGGACACAGGAAACACAGCTCTGAACGTGGGGCTTGTGGAGTCATACCCACATGGGAGCCCCCGAGGTCGGCCACGAAGCTCGGCAGTTGCCTTCCACCAAACGTGGAAGTCTCAGTTAAAGGACCCAAGAGCCCAGCAAATCAGCCTGACATCTTTGGCATGAAAAGCACAGGTTCTGCTAGGGAGCTCTGCAAAGCTCCACACATCCTATTTCCTGAAGAGAACCTGGGTTATGCAGCCAGAGCATGAAAAACGGGACATTAAGAAGGACTTCAGAGACACATCAGAGCCCTCCATCACCAAACAGGGTTATAACATGAGAAGTCTAGGAACCGAAGCATCACCCTCTGAAGGCTCGACTCACAGATGGCTTCAATAAGTCATTCTATTAGTTCTTCTTAAAAACAACATTTAAAAGAAAAATTCACCTCTCTTCCCAGTTAATTTCCTGCAGCTCCCTCTATACTTACTCACCGGGGAGTTGGTTCTGTAGGCGAGACCGCACGATGCATCGTCATCGGCCGTGTGAAGTACACCAAGTAACCTGGGATAAAAAAAGAAAAGACATACACACACACCCCTGAGCTCAAGAACACAGGCTGAAATAAAGGTTGGTAGCATTTCTAGAAAGAGATGAGCATAAACCGGAAAATGGTCGTTCCATGCTTTTCTCACGCCGGTTCTAACCGGAGAGAACATACAAGAAGGGCGTGCAGCATTTTTTTCCAGGGAGAGAGGAGGAATAAGGGAATATTAGTCCATTATTCCCTCATTCCCTATGTTTGTCAACTCTGATTAAGCCCAGGATCTTACACCCGCCTGCAGAGTTATTATCTGAGCAAGCAGCTTAATGGCTGTTCTGGCCATCGAGTCAGTCATGAAGGGAAATCCCAAAAGATACACTGAGATTCTTGACCACTCTACTCGCTTGGCTGTGTATTGCCTTTCCCCGTGTTTTGCAGGTGGAAAAAAAAGGAAATAGGTGTGTGAGTAAATGCATAACAAATCCTTGTTCAAGCTGCCTCATCTATATTGGATACCAGCATTGTGACATTTTAGTGCTGTTTACTACTTCTATTTTTTTTAAAAAATATTAAACATAGGAAACACGTCGCCGTTTACTTAGCTGGTGTCTGGCTCAAAAGCCAAGCATTATCAGACGACTACTGAGAGATTAATTGCAGAACAGCGGGGAGGAGATAGCTGTGGACGTATCAACAAAGACCTTGGCTAACTTTGACCTTTCTCTGCCATCAAAGCTGTCACAGAGTTTTAAAGACTGTGAGGTTTTCGTTAACTCTGCCTTTATTTATTTCCTTCATAGCTGTCTCAGCAAAACATTAACATTACATGTGAAAACGCACACTTAGTAAATGCACACTTACACTGGGACAGATGACCACCACTCTTTTCTTAATCCTGTTAGGTGCGCTCAGCCTCATACACTGTTTTATTAATCCACGTCTTATGAAACATCTTAATTTTTAAGAAGTTCGCACGGCAGGTCTTCCCACCATTGCCTCTCCCCCACAACTGGAACAAAGTAGCTGAAGAAGGGTAACGGGATCTAATTGGTCTCCACCCACCCCGACTGTCAAAGCTGCATTCACTCCTCAGCGATCAAGGCTGTTTTCCTCCCCCTCCCTTCCCTTGTATCAGTTAATTTTAGCCCAGTGGTTTTAAAGTGTCGTTCCAGGGAGCTTTGGAACTTCTGAAGGGCTGCTCAAGGAGTGAGATTCCTTCAGCGAAGGCAGCCTGAGCCTCTCCTCTGAGTTTCACTGTGCCAGAGAGGTGGGTGTCTGGTGTGTTCAAAGATGGGCTTGAGCAACCGCAAGACCCTTATGGTCTCAGGCCACTTCCTGCAGGAATTCAAGATGTGGCCTACAAATCAGTAGACGTGGTTCTTCTTCAAAGGAGACAAGACAGTTGGGAAAGGATACGAAGTGCAGACGTTTTGCACAACGTTGAGTGTGCTGACTGCACTCTATGGGTGGTCTACAATTTAATTATGCAGGCGACACATCATCCCTCCCCTCTAGCAAGCTGGGTACTCCATTTACCAGTCTTGAAAAGATGAAAGGCTGAGTGAACTTTGAGCTGCTTACCTGGGAGTGAACCCAGGTTGTGAGCAGAGTTTTCACTGCAGTACTGCAGTTTAAGAGTTTTAGGGTTCTGCCTGCTGATGAAACTACCAATTCCTGCCATGCCTCAAACATGTTCTCTTTTTTTAAAATAAATAATGGGGGTGCACCTAAAAACAGCATTTAAAAGACTGAGCTAAGAAACGTGCACAAACTTGCCAGTTTTATCCCAGTCCTAGAAGCTAGGACCAAGATCTCATGGGACGCTGGCAGAAAAGCGGGCATACTTACCTCCAGGAGCATCACGTTTCTCTAGGAGCCGTGCAAATGGCTTCCTGTGCCTGGACACAGAGATTGTGCAGGCCACTTTGAACAGAACCAATCTCTACCTGACATTGCAAGCTAAGCAAGGTGATTCCTGGTTTGGACTTGGGAGGAGGAAAGATTCCCGGGGAATACCAGGGAATCTCCAGGTACAGCTAGGAAAGAGCCCTGTCTGAAACCACGGAGAGTCACTGCTGTCCGTCAGAGCTGGCTATACTGGACCAACGGACCCCAGAATAAGGGAGCAGTTTCCTTCCCTATACAACTAATCAGCAACAGCGCTATATTGGGCACTTAAGTGATGGCTGACGGACAGGGCAACATCTCAAAGGATGTTGGGACGCCCCTCTCTCAGCTGCAGCCACCATGATGGGTCCTTGCCAGGGGTCTGGACCCGACGCAGGGTTAATCATCTAGCTAAGGCTCAACCCACCTGCCCCACAGAACCTGGCTCCAGAGGTCCGTGGGAACGGGATGTTGGAATCCTGGTAGGAACCGTAGGCATTCGAGACCCGGGCGAAAGTCGGCAAAGGCGGTGTGACGGAGTTTGGGAGGGCATATGGGTTGGCAGAAGAACTGTCTTCCTGGTTCTGAAACACACAAAGGCAGAGAAGGGCAGGCGCTGAGGATGTTTCTCCCGATACATCTGGATTCAGCATGATGGGAATCCCCCGGGGGCCCTCAGCTGGGGAAGCACCACGGCTCTGCAGCAGAGGGGACACCGTTCAACACACACACACCCCAGCCTTTCTGCGGAAAACGGCCTCTTTCTGCCTCTGAATCGCCATCAAGAAGAGGAGGCCACACTGACCCAAATGGGGAGGCAGTTCTGAGTGGCTTAAAGCCGTTTCCCCCCGCGCCAAGTTCTTACCTCAAGAGAGGTAAGTGTGCGGTCTCCTTTCTAAGCGTCTTGGAAGTTTTTACCTGCCAAGTCCTTGTTCAAGCTGTCTGTTCATCCCTCAGTCCCCCAAAAGTTCTGCTTGGGGGACCGATAGACGAACAGCGCTACTGTTCACCTCTTCCTCCCTCCCTCTCTCTCTCTCTGGGATGCTTTGAACACCATGGAACAGGAAGGGCGGGCCACAAAGTTTCCTACCACAGTGGCTGCAAAGTCCTGGAACTCAGTCTCAGCCTCCTCCGAAGAAGAGGGTCAAGGTTCAAATGCAGGAATAAAAGCGAGTATCGAGACAAAAAAGCAGGAATGAACCCCAAGGGGGAACAAGTCCTTTCTTACCACAACAGACTCCAGGCAAGAGACCAGCTGGCGCAGGCAGGGCTCCAGGCAGCACTGGTTCCGCTTCACCTTCTGCATGGACGTGTCCTTCAAGATCTGAAAGTTTGAATCATTTTGGGTGGCTTCCCCGTGATCTGGAACCGTCGGTTCAAAACAAGCCTCCAAAACAGAGGAAGCCACCCAAGACAGCACAGATTTCTCAGGAACGTGTCCTCCATGGGCCAGCCTTTGAAGCCGGCTCCAAACCCTGCAGCCAGACGGCTGATTGGAGCTGGTGGCAGGGAATCCTTACAGCTGCTTCACCGGCTGCCCGTCTGTTTTCAGGCTCAGTTCAAAACGTTGGCTGTGACGTGTCAAGCCCAACTAAAGCTTGGGTCCAGCTCTGTGAAGGAATGTGCCTTTCCATGCAATTCCGCCCACCACCAACCAGAGGCTTCGAGGCAGGGCCTTCTCTCTGTCCTGCCATCAAAGGCAGGCAGGTTTTGTGAGGATTCAAGAGGGGGCATTTTTGGGAGCTAACCCCAGTCTGTGGAACTTCTCTTCCACACAAGGCTAAGCTGGCCTTCTCCCTTCACTCCTTCCACCAGCAGGTAGAAACCTTCCCTATCTGTTTTTAACGAAGGGGTGCAATGTGTTTTCCGTGTTGTTTTTAATCATTCAAAATTAGATTGGGTTATTTTTTTAAGGTTTAATTGCATTTTATTATTAATATCTTCGCTGCGATTTGCTGCCCTGAGATCCTTCATTGGGACCAAGAGGGGATACAAGCAAACAAATAATAATCAGACATTGTTCTTTCTTTTTTGGGGGGGGTACAGCACACAAATAGGCCCACCCTCAGTGTTCAAGAGCTCCACCGCCTTCTGCCCTCCTCCCCTCCCGACGGTCACAGGGAGCCCCCCTCACCTTCAGCAGCTTGGCCTTCATGGTGGAAGGGATGGTGGTCTGGTTGACAAACTGGAAGGAAGGGGCAGCATTGTTGGGGTACTGGGCGGGGAACATCACCAGCATCTTGACCCTGTGGTTGCTGCAGTGGACTGAAACCGTGCAGCTGCGATTCACGGCGTCCATCTGTCAAAGCCCCAGACACACACACACACAAAGAGAGAGAGAGATTATTAGGAGAGCGCCAAGCAGATTCTTCTCCCTGCATTGCTGTCATCTTTCTTGAAGGAAAAATGCCTGAGCATGAGAACAAAACTGCCTAACAGCTTGGACCCTTTTAGAACTCTAACTAACAATACAGATTCATGCAGCACATCCGACTAAGTCTCTAACAAGAAACAAAGTCCTTGCTTGAAGGCGCGCAACTAGAAGTGGGGACAAATGGTGGTTCGTGCCTGTTCGTTTTTCATCCAAGCAGGAGCCGGGCGCTTCAAAGTCCCGCCTCTTCCAGCGGTTGCCCACTCAGAGCCAGGGCCACGTCCAGCACGGCCTCTGAGTGGGCGCCTGCCGGAGGAGGCGGGGCTGGGAAGAGCTGAACTCAGGTTCGGATGAAAAATGGACCAAAATGGACCAACCAGCGGTTCATGCCCACCTTTCAGTGTTCAGATGTGAATGAGAAAGGCAGATGTGTCTACTGCTTGGGAAAGAAATGGAATTATGGCGAGCAAACTAAGAAGCAGCTTCACTGCCAAAGCCGCCTACGAGGGAGGAGAGCTGCTGCATTGTTGGGGAAGAGAAAGCCAAGCATTCCCCAGGAAACAGCAGGCGGGGCCTCGTCCCGTCCAAATTCTCAAGCACAAGCGTCCCCGTGGAGAAAGCCGCTTGCTCCTCACCTCCATGTTGACATTTCGGATCTGGACGTTGATGAGGGAGAATTCTTGCTGCAAGGTCTGGGGCAGCCCAAGCTGGTCCAGCTTTTTCCCCACGAGGAGGCTTTTCTGGGACTCTTCTTTTGAGGCTGTCATGGAGAAAACGGAGCATTTGGTGGGACCAGAGGAAGCAAACCCCTGGAGATATCCATGCTAAAAGCACGTTGTTTTACATGCTTTTAGCACTGCCTTTAATCTCGGCCAATGTTTAATTGATTCTTAATGTACAGTTTTGTATGGTACAGTATGTTCAACCTGTTCTTCTTGTATGCTTTTAACTGTTGCGATCTGCCCTGGGTCCCCTATGGGGAGAAAGCCTGAATATAAATGCAATAAATGAATAAATACACCCCTCGGAAGGCCATGGAGTGGGAAGGGACGGGGGTGGTGCTGAGGAGGAAGGGTTCATGGAGCAAATATGGAATTCTATCTTTCTTTCCCAGCACCGAAGAGGACTCTGGTACTTTTACAAGGTGGGAGAACAGCTGTCCCCCGCGATTGACACGTCTCACCTTCGTCTTCTCCCGGGTTGGAGTTCTGCTGGGGCTCAGCATCGTGGGGAGGGAGAGCCTTGTCAGGTTCGGGTAGGAGAGAAATGCCATCCATCAGCTCCTCCACGCCGTCCAGGAGATCATTAGAGCACAGCTGGAACAAGAGGAAGCAAAACACAGTCAAGCAGAATCCCATGGGAGGCAGGTTGAGCCCAGGGAGGTGGTGTCCCTCTGTCTTTTGTGGCCAAAAAGGAGCAACGGAGGATTCTGAAAGAGCAACAGGGTACCCCTGGGGAACGCTGCAGGCCCAGAACGGCTCACTTAGCCTTCCTTTGCAAGAGGGGCAGCGTTCCCCCATCACTGCCATGTCTACCAAGACAAGTCAATATTACTGCTGAGACATGTAAGGAGACTCTCTCCGGTGACATCTGTATGACTCTGCAAGGTCTCCTCTTTCTTTTCTCACCTCGCTCTCCCATACACTCCCCCTTCCTACGCACCCTGTTCTTACAATGCTTAAAAGACTGAGACCAGCTGCCTCCTGGCTCTTCAGATGTTCACTCCGCACAAGAGCTGAGCCGTGCACTGCCTCTGGGCAGCCCCTTCCGGCTCTGCTATTCTCTGCAGAGAGGGTGTGGATTTCCCATTCCAGTTGTACCATTCTAATCTCCGCTGCTGAAACAGCGCAAAGGGACCCACCACCTGCACCCCAGGGCCCTGCTGGTGATCATCATCCTCATCATCAAGGCAGGCATGTTGGTCTGCCACCCTGCCTCCTCCCCCAATTTGGTGGGAGTGAGTTCACACTGGAAGGAAGCCGGGCAAAGAAGCAAAAAAGACCCAAGGATGCGATCCATCTCTCTGGAACTGCGGAACAACTGCCACAGAGAAGAAGAGCAAGGGCCGCCAAGAGAAGACAAAGCAGAAGGGAATCAGGGCTGCAGTCAGGCAGGTGGAGGCGATAACCTAAGGGAAAGCTTTCTGGCTACATGACAAAAAGGCTAATGAAGATGGGAACCTATGGCTATTGCCAGCCGTCCCCTTTGCACTGGGTCTGATGAGCTTTTTCAGGGATTCTGGCCAGCCTGAAGAGATGGTCCGGCAGGATCACAAGTTAAAATTCCAGCTAACCCACTGAGGCCACGAGGAGGTTCCCTAGCTAATCCACAAGAGGTAGGCCTAGAAGGTCTGGTCTCGAGGGCAGGGCTGACCAGACGTATCCTGTCTTTCTGGATTTCGGTCCCTCAAGCCGGCAAGCGGGCCAGGATCCGCCGGCCACCATACCTACCCGCTGCAGCTGGCCGTCCACACGCCACATCCGGAGCGTCTGGTCCCGCGACCAGGTGACCAGCTGGTAGTCTTTGGACCCTGTAGGGAGGAGAGGAAAGGCATTTCGGAGCAAAGAGCTCAAAGCAGCGTATTTGCCTTGACCTTCGAAGCAGGCAAAAGGCAAAGGGAAGTTGGGCTTTGAGCGGGAAGCGGCTGAAGTGGCCGCCCCTTGAGGGGGAAAAAAAGCCTCCAGAGGTCTTTCTCTGGCTCATGGCCGACATGAATGCTGCTTGCGACAAAGCGATTCCCGAACAATGCCTGCGTACCACGGCATTGTCATCAGTGGCCTCCATGCTTCGCATGTCTCATACTGCAGTCAGCATAAATTATGCAAATTTGCTTTTTGCTCCCTCATGCACTCTGCGCCTGCCTGTGACGGGGAAAGGACAAAGGGCTGCAGGAAGACCCAAAGCCCTACCACTTATTCACATAGGCTCAGGCGTGTAAGAGAAACCCATGTTCAAATATTTCAAATCTCAGCCCTCAAAGGGCTCATCCTTCCAAGACTGACTCTTCACCTCCTACAGACTTCTCATTTCTGGAAACAGGAGTCTGCCTTCATATGTGCAGAAAAGGTTCTGACTTCTCAGCCAGGCTAGCACTAGACAAAGGACTGGGGAAGATGGGAAGAAAGAGGGTTTCCGGGTCAGAAGAAGGGATTCCCCCTAGGACCCCCACACCCACACCCACTGGCTAGAGGCACAACTGTGTTTCGTTTCAGTCTGCATATTTTGGCTCACAAAAATGTTACTGGCAAGGGTTCTGCTGCTCGCTCTGGTGAGCCACAAATAAAAACATACCTGAGAAGGATTTTTCCCCTTTTCTTTTTATAATAACAAAACATTTTCCTTTGTACTGTTAAGTTCTCCACCTCTTCTGGCCACAACGGAGTACAAACGACCAAAGAACCAAAGGCTCGCTATGGGGCCGAGGTGCCTCACCACCACCCACCCATCTCCCACCCAAATACAGCAGCCCTGAACAGCTTTGGCAATTTGAGTGTAAGGACATTTACCTGGGATGCAAGCTCTCACAGCACACGTGACACAAAAGCAAACACTGTATACCTATTTTCCCCCAGCCTGATCACCTCCCTTGTGTAAAAGCAGGGTTTCAAGCTGATTTCTTGGAACACGGCGCTGTCGCCACTTCCAGACGCCCTGCACAAGTCTGCAATGCAGGGGGGGGGGGGAAGCACTTCCTTTAAGGTCCGGCTTGGCCCCGTCTAGAACGCACCTTCCTTTTGCTTCCTCCACTGGAATTCCAGCACCACATCATCGTGTCCGACAAAGGTATGGACCGGCGTGTTCAGGTCAAAGACGTTCCAGAGTAACAGGCTATTCTCCCTTCGCAGCTGGGGCACCATGACCGTCACCAGCCCGTTGCTGAAGGGCTGGAAAAGGAGACAAGAGATTAGCGGCTCAGGACACAGCCCGGAAACTCGGAAATGTAGAAACTAAAACGAAAGGAAAAACCATCCTAACGCGTGATGCCTAGGTGGAATTCACCTGCTCTCGCACCCAAAGATGCTCGGTTGGAAAGGTTAGCTTAAACTAATTAATTCAAAGCCTTTTGATAAACTGAAACAGTGCTGTGATCAGTCAGGAAAGCGATTTAAATTATCCTCAACAACCCCTTCATATTACAGGGACTATCTTTTTTTTTAAAGGCTCTCCATCTGGGAGAGAGAAAAAGAGGGACTCCTACTACAGGTCTATCTGTAAGATGCCCAGTTGATTCACAGCTTCCTTCTGCAAACGGAATGAGTTAAGCAAGAATGTTTCCTTTAACTGGGCGGCCGTTCTCGTCCCTAACTCACAAAGTAAGGCAAGCCTCGGCCCAGAGTCTCTTTTAGCCGTTCCAGCAGAACCAGGGGGAAGGCATTGCAGGTGGCCGTCCTTACCGTGTATCTCGCTTTCCAGACCGGAACCTGACAGGCTAGGATGTTGAGGTATTTTCGGGGTTGCCGGTAATCCCAGAACTTCAACAAAAGAGACAACAAGCCAGCTCAGGAGAAGGAGGCTTAAGAACAGCAAAACACACACCCTGGGAGATCACAACACAACGGAATCACCACAAGATTAATGGAGCTGCAGGTCTGTAGGTTGAGAATTTCAGCAAAGGGGTAGAAGGGCTACTTGGAACAACATCCCACTCAGGAATCTGTGGCTCTTATTTTTCTTTTTATTTTTATTTTTAAGGTCCAAGCTTTCCTGTTCCTTTTCAGCATCTACTACTAGGATAAGATGCGGATGTCTGGCCACCGTATCTTGAGGCTCTGTCCCTCCTTTGAAAGTCCAGGCCGCTTCTAGATGACCTCACTGGACCCTTCCCTTCTCCAGTCAATCCCTTTTGTCAATGAAGAGGGTCTGCCCTTCAGACAGGCGGCCAGGTTTTCTATCAGCTCCGAGACTCATCCAGGCATGAAGAAAAGTTTCAGCCAGCAAAGAACAACGTTATAAAGTGCGGGGGGAAAACCTTCCTAACCTCATCCATGCTTCCCACATATGTAAATACGTCCCCTTCTCTTTTTTACAACTCCAACATAATGATGACACAGTTTTATCCATCATATTCATTTTGACCGGCGTTAAATACCACCTCCATATTACTTTATAGCAGTTTTCTTTTATCCTTACTGACATGTTCTTCATAATTCTCTGATCCCATATTTTATCCCATTCTTCTCCTATTACTTCTTCATCCAAATCATTTTGCCATTGCATTTTTAACCCTACAGTACCCTGTTCACCGTATCCTGAGGCTCTGTCCCTCCTTTGAAAGTTCAGGCCGCTTCTAGCTGACCTCGCCGGACCCCTCCCTTCTCCAGTCAATCCTCTTTGTCAGTGAAGAGGGTCTGCCCTTCAGACAGGCGACCAGGTTTTCTATCAGCTCCGAGACTCATCCAGGCATGAAGAAAGGTTTCAGCCAGCAAAGAACGTTATAAAGTGCGGGGGAAACCTTCCTAACCTCATCCATGCTTTGGCAACCTCACAACAGACTTTAGGCAGGGCTCTCCCTCAAAGCAGTTTAGAGGTGGCCAAGGGCCATCCATGGGGGGCCAGAATCCCAGCTGTGTTTCAAGGACTGTGGTGCTTTCTATAGGGATGGAAACATGAGCTATCGAGGAATGAGGGGACACAAAACATATAGGAAGATCCAGCTTCCGCACACGGAGTCTCTGTACACTGTTCTCTCTCTTCCCAGGGGATCACGAAGACCAGGAGGTGCCGGCGCCAGTGGTCAGCTCTCCCGTCCTGGAAAGCAAAGATCCACAGCCCTAGAACGGAGCCCAGCCCAACTCGATCCACCTTACCTACCCTGACAGAGTTATCCTGGCTGGAGGTGGCCAAAACATTTTCGTTGTCGGGGTGCCAGTCCAGGCCGTGTATTTTAGAGAGATGCGCCGCCAGATACTCCACCGCGGTGCCTGGTTTCTACAAAGAGAAAGTTTGCTTGAAACGCGATTCTGCGAAGGAGGAGGAGGTTCCATCCGTTCTGCACCAGAACCCACGGGGCATGGGCAGCCTGGATGCAGGAACTACTAGTGTTGAAACGCGATTCTGCGAAGGAGGAGGAGGAGGCTGAGTTCCATCCGTTCTGCACCAGAGCCCACGGAGCATGGGCAGCCTGGATGCAGGGACTGCTAGTGCTGGTTAGCGGAGAGAATGCTGAACCCAAGCCTAGGCAGAAGCAGCTTGGAAGCACAACATTTCAATCACACAACAACTGTTACACAGCCGAAGCAACAGCCCTCATGCTTCTCTGTGTGTTGCCAAAATGCGGTTGTTGTTTCGTGCTGTCACGTCACCCCCAGCTTATGGTGACCCCTATGATCAGCCCCGCTCAGCTCTTGTAGACTCCAGGTTCTGGCTTCCTTTAGGGAGCCCGTCCATCTCGTATTGAGTCTTCCTCTTTCCCTGCTGCCTTCCACCCTCTCCCAGCATCACCGTCTTCTCCAGAGAATCCTTTGCCTTCTCAGGATGGGCCCAAAGTAGGACGGTCTCAGTTTCAGCATCGGGATGATCACCATGTTAGAACCCAGACATTTCTCTGACTCTTTTCTTACGGGCAAGCAGAAAAGCGAGGGCCACGCTGACTCACCCGCTTGTCCCAAATACGCACGTCTCCGTCATGGCTGGTCGCCAGGCAGTTCGCATTCTTCTTATTCCACTTGACCTGGGAGGCTCCAGCTGCACAGAAGCACAGCAGCAGAAGTCACTGGGACCCCCTCTTCCGGAAACGGAACATCAATCAACACAACAGAAAAAATCACAGTAGGTATGACAGCCCAGCAACCAAAGCAAAGGACGGATCCTTCAGAACCATGGTGGGGTCCCACGGCTTCCCGAGGCAGAATAATCAACAACAGATAAGCTAGGGGCCAACATTGCTTTCAGGGAATCGGCTGCCACCCGATGTGATGCGCAGCAGCCACCACACCGGAGCAGGGCCACCCAGGACCTCACGCTGCTCCCCCGAGGCCCACCGCTGGGACAGCCAAGCTTCTGGCCTTGCCAGAACAGATAGTGGGGGCCCTTCAGCCTGCACGCTCTGCTCTATGCCACGGTGCAGTTACTCCCTTACTCAGGATCCCAAGGAGGACCTTAGCTTGGCTTTAGGCCACAGTCAGATCTGTTTTGCCTTCCTGAGCTTGTCCAGAGGTAACCCCAAACCAGCACAGACTGTGCCAAAGAAAGACGCACGTAACATCTGTTGGCTACTCATGACTAAATGTTGCTGCAAAACAGACACAGCACCGAGATCTCCCTGTTCCAGAGCATAAGACCACAGTTTCTTTTTAGTACCGAAGCACACCCCAAAACCGTATTCAATCTTATTCCACCTCTCTCCCCTTTCCCACCATAAATACTCTTTTGTTATCAGCATTTCACTCTTTCAGTCTCTACTCTGCAAGCGATACTCAACACCATGTTTCCCCGAAAAGAAGACAGGGCCTTATATTAATTTTTGCCCCAACAAAAGCATTAGGGCTTATTTTCAGGGGATGTTTTATTATTATTATTTTCATGTACAACCATCTACAACCAAATACAGTCATGTCATCTTCTGGTTGCTGCACAAGGGTGAAGGGCAGGGTTTCACTCAACTGGGGCTTATTTTTGGGGTAGGGCTTATATTACAAGCATCCTGAAAAATCATACTAGGGCTTATTTTCAGGTAAGGTCTTATTTTCAGGATAACAAGAGAATGAACAATGGGATGTCTGTGAAAGGGAAAACAGAGGCATTGAGCGGCCACCTAAACGTCCCTGGAAGGAAAAATCTGCCTGACGGCGGAATCTCTCATGCCCACAATCTTTGCTCAGGGAGAGAACAGCAGCAGGAAGGAAGGAGCGCTCAAGCCCATGAATCCAGGATTCCAATTAACCAGCCCCCAAGTAGGTACTTACCGACTGCAGAGAGGGAGACCGTGGGTTTCCGAGTGTCTCTGAAACACGGCAAGATTTGCATAAGAACATGTACCTCTACCTAGGTTAACATTTCCCCAAATATCCCCCCCTGAATCAAAAATGGAGGCCTTTCTCTCCCCCCCAACTTCTTTTTTTTACAACTCAAGAGGCTTGCTTTCAGAGTACATAACAGTTAGAAATGGTAACAACACTCCAGGTGCTTCTACCTGAACACTCAATGCTGTGACCTATACAGAACAGACCCCTTCAGTCTTCCGGACGTTCTGCACCAGGAGTAACTCCCGGCTGATACATAGACACATCAGCTGCCCCCCCCCCAATAGAGAGGACATTGAAAGAAAGCAGAGGGGCAATCGCCATGTCAAGACACCGCAAGTCACTTTCTCTGTGAGAGAACATTTTGGGCATTCATTCTTTATTCCTCATGACAAAGAGCTCGCCAGTGTAGGAGAATTTAAAAAATGCACAGCTCCCTCTAATCTATGCCACCCTACTTCTTAGGTGCACGGCAGAGGGTACAGGGTACAGGGTTCCACTCAGTTCACTGCACCATAAAGTCCCCACTGCAGAGTCTCACAAGAATTTGCACCCTAGTACATCAGACGAGAGGAAACTCTGTGGATCCTGACCCTGGGAGAGAAGACCCTTCCCCCCCCCCAGACGTAACATGACAAACTTTACGAGGGGCTCCTCCACTCTCCTGATCATTCCCATTTCAGTGGAAGCAGCCCAGAGAAACGTCCTCCCTAGGCCACCAGAAAACCAAGACCACCTTCCCTATGGGGGAGTGTGTGTCTGTGTCTGCTCTTACTTGATGTCCCAAATGTAGATGTAGGTGTCCACCGAACTGGTAACCAGCAGGTCTGGCTCAAACACCGCCCAGTCCAGATCACTAGAAAAGTAACAAAGCAAGGAGGAAGAAAAGATATGAGAAGGAGGCATCAGATACAGAAGTGTGTCAACAAGGTTACTAACACCCACGTTGTCCCCATCAACGACAATATTAAGGTTCTCAACAAGGACAGTTTTGCCAGTCTTGAATATCTTGGCCACGGTCAACGGAGAAGGCTGGGGTTCCCCAGGGACGTACCTGATCACCCGCGTGTGTCCTTGCAAGGAGGTGCCGATTTCCCCGTTCCCATCTTTCCATTTATATAGGTCAACTCGCTGGTTGCTCTGGAACCAAAGTCAAAGCTATGGTTTTTCCAGTAGCAATGTATGGAAGTGAGAGCTGGACCATAAAGAAGGCTGACTGCCAAAGAACTGATGCTTTTGAATTGTGGTGCTGTAGGAGACTCTTGAGAGTCCCCTGGACTGTAAGGAAATCAAACCTATCCATTCTGAAGGAAATCAACCTTGAGTGCTCACTGCAAGGACAGATCCTGAAGCTGACGCTTCAATACTTTGGCCATCTCATGAGAAGAGAAGACACCTGGAGGATCTCCATCATGTGCCCATTCCCAAAGGATCTAAGTGTGGGAAGGCCCGTAAGGGCAAGATCAGGGCCACCGTCAGATTTACCGAAGCAGCGAAGAAGTGTGCGTGGCCGTCGTGGGGGTTCCACTGCACGGCTCCAATGTCCCACTTGCTCTGGCGGGCGATCTTGCGGTGGCCGTCGGCAGGCACGTCTAGGTTCACAATGTAAAGGAAGCGCCTCCTGCAAGAAGGGGACACAGGAGAGGTTATGACCCCCCTAAAGTCCATGAAACACAGCCCCGTTCCTCCAAAGCCTGAGGACAGCACAGCACGCTTTCGAACAGCTACAAGCTCCACCTTGACTCCAAAGCTGCCAAGAAAGAAAGATGAGGGGAAGCAGGCAGGAGGACCTCTTTAGGACTGCTATCAAAATGTTTCTTATCATGACAGCTGGTACACACTGGAAGATGGGCTTTACTGTGTAACAGTGTAGGAGCAGACATGCCCTCTGTTTCCAGGACCCCCGTTGGTGGGGGGTGAGGCTGTCCACTTGTCGGTGGATGGCACATTTTGGCCCCAGTAAAAGCCCTTTGACCCCATCGCGAGAAGGCAGGATTCTGCAGGAAAAGACAATCATTCTGGGAAAGGTGGGAGGCAGCAGGAAAAGAGGAAGACCCAATACAAGATGGACTGACTCCTTAAAGGAAGTCAGAACCTTTACTCTGTAAGAGCTGAGCAGGGCTGTTGAGGACGGGACATTCTGGGGACAGCTCATTCATGGGGTCACCCTAAGCCGGAGGTGACTTGACAGCAACCTCAACAGCATTGAAAGGGTTAAATGGCACCATTTTGGCCCCAGTAAAAGCCCTTTGACCCCATCGCGAGAAGGCAGGATTCTGCAGGAAAAGACAATCATTCTGGGAAAGGTGGGAGGCAGCAGGAAAAGAGGAAGACCCAATACAAGATGGACTGACTCCTTAAAGGAAGTCAGAACCTTTACTCTGTAAGAGCTGAGCAGGGCTGTTGAGGATGGGACATTCTGGAGACAGCTCATTCATGGGGTCACCACAAGCTGGAGGTGACTTGACAGCAACCTCAAAAGCCCTGAAAGGGTTAAAGGGCAGTTCCAAAGTTGGAGGAACCTTTTTCTCCCTCCCAGTTCTGTCCTCCAACCAGGGGAAGTCAAACTGGCTCCAAGTTGCATAAGCTTCTACTTCTGTTTCCTTCCCTCAACACACTTCTACCCATCTGGAGGGAATGAGTTTTCGTGGATGCCCCCCATGCATGGATGCCCCCCTTTGTCCCTCAACACACTTCTACCCATCTGGAGGAATGGGTTTTGGTGGATGACCCCCATGCTTGCAACCATCAAGTCCCCAAGGAGCCTAAAGAAGCAAAACGTAGTTGGTAACAACCCTGTTTGATCCATCCAACAGATCTATCGGGCCCTTTATGTGGTGAGGCTGCAACAAACCCGCTGTCTTTCCTTGAGATTCTTGGAACTAAGTAGGGATATGATCCTGAGTTTCCCTGGTTGAAGTCTAAATATTTTCTCCAGCACACCTCATTAAAAGTTCAAGGGAAGATGTCATGATGCAAGACAAGCCAGAGATACGGAGGCACTGAGATTTTTTTTGTGAAAGGGTGCAGGACACGCCAGTCCTATGTGAGACAATGCAAGCTGGGCCAATGCAGAATGAAGCCAGGGGTTTGGCCTAGTTTATGGAACAGGAGGACAATGCAAGCTGGGCCAATGCAGAATGAGCCGGCTGGACATGAAGCCAGGGGTTTGGCCTGGTTTATGGAACAGGAAGGATCCAGGTGCTGGCTGAAAGCCCGCACAGACGTCAAGTGCCAAACTTAAGGACACCAAGTTCCGATGAGTGGGTGATGATGCACTAGTCAGAGACTGCCAGAGAGGATGGACGGACAGACCCGTCTGCACAGAATGCTTCCCACGAGCATTAAGAGTCATCCACGCACGACTTTGCAGCCAGAACTAGGACTTAAGTCTCCGCAAAGAACAGGTGAAGGAGGTAAACCTGTTTCCAGACCTGAAGACTACAAGTGGCACACAGAAGACTGGGTCCTGTTCCCACCATGGGCTTTGGGGGGGGGGGAATACATTAAATTTTTTAGAATTCTCAGGGTAAAAAGATTAGTCCAGCCTACTTGGACACCCTACTCTTCTACAGACAGAGAGTTTTAAATGGACCTTTTGGAGGATGGAAGAAAGATGACCCTCTGAAAGGAGGCTTAGGTCTCGTGCTCTAGTTTTACTCACAACCGTCTTAAGGCAAAGCCAGGCCTTCCAAGACCGTTTTCTGCCAACCCTGCAGGTTTGAGGAGTTCCCTTGCCAAAAACTCTCCCCCTCCCTCAGCAACAGCAGCACACGTAAAAACCAAAGAAATGAGGTACGGCTGTTCTCAGGAGCCGAGGGAAGCAGAGACCGGCCAGGCCAGGCCTGCCCTGTGAATGGTTTTAAAAACATCCAAAAACAAGGACTTCCAGCCTTCCAAGTGCTTCCAGTTTCGTGCTTTCCGTCTGCCAGCCAGTCTGGGCAACCTCATCCCCGAAGATCTTGGGGGAAACAAATCTGGCCCCCAGGTTTGCCGAACTCTCTGACCCCTTGCTCTGATAGTGAGTGGACTCAGTTGTAAGGTGGGTCCTTGCCTGGCTCAAGAGACTAAGGGTGGATATCAAACTCTGTCCCAAAACGTTATGTCCAAAAGGTTCACCCTATGGCAAAAGGCTGCATTTCTTGTGTACTGAACATCAACAAAAAACACATTGGCTGAAGCACTTGAGATGACAAGCAACTGCAGGTGACTTTCATTATATACACGCAGGCCCCTTTATGCAGATGCTTCCCTCGTTTTTACAGTTCCAGCACATCAACAGATAAGATGCGGGTTGGGAACCCAAGCCTGATTTAGGGAAGGCAGAAAGGAGTGTACATAAAAGACCCCCAATTTCAAAAGGTTTTTTTCTTGCAGATTTCACTAAGTATTCACTGAGCTCTCAGAAATTATCTTTGCCATCATGAGAGCTAGAAGTCGATGCTTGCGCTTAAAAAGGAGCAAGAAAGCTGACGTTAGTCCTAGGGCTTCTGACTGTCCAGCGTCTATTGTTGGGGACATCATTTATATGTAAGTAAGCAAGAGATCTGGACAGAAGGCTGCGAGACAAAAAGCAAACAGACCTGCAGTGCAAACATGGAATCTGAAGTACGGCAGTGCCCAAATTACATGTCTAAATGCTGCTTAGAGATGTGTAATCATTGGGGGGGGGGGAGGAAACCACCAACAAGATTGGAAAGATGCATGTAGGTAAGACTTCAGAAAACACACACAGAGAAGGACACCAGGTAATCAGATCACGAGAAGTAGAAGGTCACCAGCTGAACAAAGCAAAATTCACAATTCTAACAAGAAGAGAAGGAGAGGCCTCAGATGCTGGCAATGTGAAAGATAAAGGCAAGGTTTATGTGCAAAGGGCAGACACACCTGTTACATAACAGCACTGATGTTACCTGTCTGTCATGGGTTTGGAGGGAAAGTTCCATCCTATGGGGAGTGGAAGGCGGGACATCAGGAGGAGGGGCTGTACTGTATAAATATGTGAAGCCTGTGTGGTGAAGTTCAGAAGCTGGGAGATACTGTGAGACACTGGGATGTGACGAAGCAGCAGCTGGGAAGAAGAAGCTGTTGTGGGAGTCTGTGTGTCAGACAGGGTACTACTGTGTGTCAGAGTACCAACCTGATAGGTTCAGGTGTCTGTTGGTTAGCCAGAACTGATAGGTTCAGGGTCTGTGCTTCAAGTAAGGGTTCTGTGTGAACCAAACTGTGTGTATGTATGAGTGAGAATAAGCCACGTTACTTTATCCTATTCACCTGATT